GATGAGGGAAAGAAGAAAAAAAAAAGAAGGAAGAGAAAATATAAACATATACATGAAATGAAGAGTTCATGCCTACAGTTTTTTATGTTCTACTTGATTTTGCATTCTTGTCTCTGGTGATCAGAACAACTGATTTGAAGATAACAATATGCAATGGAATTACAATGGCGAACTCCTACCATCTTGTCTAGTGAAACTCTGTATTATCTCTAATGTTTTACTGAAGAATTAATTTTCTTATTCTCTTTAGTGGTTTGAGCAATCTTTCATTCTTACATCTGGTAATCTGAGCAATATAGTTGAGGATAGCGATAAGTAATGTAACAACCACTGTTGATTAGTGTTATATTTTCTTCAGACCCTGTATCACTTTGAATACTTTTGCTTTGATTTGTTTATGTTCATGACACTGGTATGGTGCTATTGTTCTATTTTTTTTGTCTGTTTGTTTCTCATTTATTACTCTCTTTAAAATTAAAAACAAACAGCCCACCAAAATTATACACTAAGGAGTCAATCTAAGAAAGGAAGTAAAAGATCTATACATTGAAAATTACAGTACTTTGAAAAAGGAGATCAAAGAGAATATCAGAAAATAGAAAGACATCCCTTGCTCATGGATAGGAAGAACCAACATGATGGAAAATGGCTGTACTGTCAAAACTGCTACACAGCTTTAATCCAATTCTGATCAAAGTACCATTATCCTACCTCCCAGATACAGAGAAAACATTCTTAAAATTCACTTGGAAACAGAGGAGACCTAGAATAGTCAAGGCAATCCTTGGCAAAAAAAGGCAAGACAGGACGCATCACAATCTCTGACTTGTAATTACACAACAAAGGTGTTGTGAAAAAATCAGCATGCAACTGCAAAAAAACCTCAAACAAACAAACAAAAAACAAACCACACTTGAGGATCAGCGGAAAAGATGAGAAGATGCAGGCACAACTACAAAAACATTCAGCCACCTGAGGTTTTCAAACCCCCTTGAAAATGGGACAAACATGTCCTCTGAAAGAACAATAATCTGTTTAATATATGGTGGTGGAAGAAGTGGACTTAGAAAGTCCTGGTGACTGAGCAGCACTGTGAATGTCCTAAATGTCTCCACCAGCTAACAAAAAGGAATGGAACTACTGGTAAACACAACATAACACGCTTCAATCTCAGAAGTATGATGCTTAGAGAGTTAGAAGTCTCTGAAGGCCACACACTGTAGGATCCCATTAACAACACTCTTGTGGAGACAGCTGTGAGGGAGAGGAGGTGAGAGATTGATAGGTCAGTGGAGTAGCAAGCTTCTAAACATAAAATGGAAAAGTCAAGGGAAGTTTTGGAGGAAACAAAGTGGCTGTAACTCATTAGTGACAGTTACAGAACTGTGTTCATGTTCTCACAGAATTTACAATCAAGGTCTCAGAAGATGATTTGGGGGGACGATGATTTTTTAAATCTCACAACTGTGCTAAGTTCATGGTGAACGCACAATGCAGTGATCATAAAGAGGAGTTTCTGAACCCAGAACAGCTGTGAGATGTTACAAATTTGAACACAAGGAAAACGACCCCCTTGTCACCTTCATGGACACAAAGGCAGTTTTGTTTTCACAGGCATCATCCTGGACACTGAAGGTGGCGTTCATGAGGCTAGAAGGAGACCTGTGCCCCTGGAAGAAAGAGCACCTGTGAGCCCTGGTCAGGCCAACCCCAGGCTCTGCATCTACATTTGGGCCACCCAGCCAAGCAGGTTGGGCGGCCTGAACTTCTGAGTCTCTAGAATCCTCACGGAAATTAAACTCAACAGATCAACTGTTTTTGCGCGGGGTGAGAATGGGGGAAGTGGGAGAGGAGAACACTGGACAGCGCCTGCTGCACCGGGGTTCCATAGGAGGAATAAGCGCTCACGTTCTCCTACACTGTGGAGGAGCGTGGTTCCCAGTGACCTGCCGCACAGCGTATGAGAACCTAGAACAGACAGAGGCTCTGAACAGAAATGTCAAGAGGGAAGTGTTTATTGCCCCGATTTGATCAGTAACTTCTCTATGCCTGTGTTGAAGTGTTACACTGTACTTGAATAAGATATACCATATGACAGATTAATAAAAATTAAATTACAATTACAAACTCATCAAGACATTTATTGCAAATGAACACATTAGAATTGCATATGTTTGTGGGGTACAAAATGATGTTCTGATAGATGTATGCACTGTATGAGGCTTAAATCAAGCCAGTTAATGCATCCCTCACCTCAAATGCTTATCACTTTTTGTAGTGGGCCCATTTGAAATTCATTCTCAACAATGTTGAAATATCCAGTAATTATGCTCACCACACTTGTTCAGTGGATGTTGAAGTCTTATTCCTCCTGTGCACCTGCAGGTTTGTCCCTTTCACCCCTATTTCTCCACACACACGCATTCCATTCCCCCTTCTATGAGTCCTATTGTTTTAGATTCCACTTCTAAGTGGGAACAGGCAAAGTTTGCTTTTCTGTGCCTGGCTTACTTCTCTTACAATAATGTCCTTCAGGTCTGTCCGTATAGCAACATGTGTCAGCTTTTCTCCTCCTTTAAGGCTGACTAGTGTACCACTGTGTTAGAGTCACATCACCTCTATCTTCCATGATTACAAGAAGGAAATATAAGCAAACAGCAAAATTATTTATTTGAGCAAAAAAACAAGTGTGCAAAAAAGTGATCTAAATGGAAGATTATTTAGCCATAGAAAGAAGAATTTCTGGTACAGGTAGCAGCATGGGTTAATCTTGAAAACATGATGGTAATTGAAAGAAACCAGACATTGCAAGCAAAATATCTAATCATTCTATTTCTAGAAGACATCTAGGATAGACAACTCCATGGAGACAGAGAGGTGATTCATGTTCACCAAGAGCTGTGGGAGGAGAGAATACAGATTGACAGGAATAGTGTTTCATCCCGGGGTGCAAGAAAAGCTCTGGACCGAAGTAGTGACAATTTCTGCACAACATTGTAAATACACTAAATGCTACTTAACTGTATGCTCTGAAATGCTTAAAATGGTTAATTTGATGTGTCTGTTTTGCCAAAATTTAATATTGCCAAAATTAAATACAAAATCAATGGTGCATGATATGTGTAAATTTCAAAGCTAATTTACAAGTTCCTATGTAGTATGGTGACATCATTTTCTGAGGATGATATGAAATGCTGTTGATTTCAACATTTCATAGGTAATCAAGATGTCCAAATTCTGCTCTGCCTGGCTTAACTGTGTGTCACACCTCCCATATCCCTCAGATCAACACCAAAACTTTTGCTGGTAGTCAGCCCAGAAAAGTCTCCCTTTTGAGTAAAGCAATCCTAACGTTGCGTACAGGTTAAGAACATTCTCTTCACAGGTTCCCTTGTAGGCATACCTCACCGTGTGACTAATTTCTGGCCAACATGGATAACCAGAAGTGACAGTGCAGTACAATCTTCAAGGGAAAGACTGTGATGTTTACCTCCCTTTCTCCTCTTCCTGCCAGCTGTACAGTAGATGTGAGGGCAGGAGCTGGAGCAGGAGTATTGAGCAACACAGTGAGAATCTTGTTTTTCTCACTACAGCATTACAGAACCATCAAATAAGGTCTGCCTCATGACAGCCAGATTGTTACAGAACTGGTGTCTATTTTAGGACACCATATTTTCCAGCTTTGTTAAGACTTCAAAAGCACAAACCTGGTGATGTGGCCTCTTGGAAATCCTCAGCCACCAGGACCTTTCCCCAGTACTTATGTATTTAGGGTCCATAGCTGACCCTTCTTGGCAGTGCTGGTCCCATTTATTATAGGGAATCCTATCTTCCTTACATTTGAATGGAACCCTAGCAGGGAAACAAAAGCAACCAAGGCAAACTGTAATCACAAGACAGGAGCAAAAGGTAAGCCTGACTTCATGAGCTCAGTTAATCTCCCGTGTGGCTTCCTCCTCAGGGAGGCTGTGAGGCTTCTCCAGCCTCTCTATGGAGGAGCTAAGAGGAGTTCAGAGCCAAACCTCAACCTCGAGGAGGAGCTCAGACAATCCCCAGTCCTCTATCCGGGCCTGTCCTGTTACCTTCTCACAGCAGGGAGGATGCAAGCTATGACAAATGCTCAGAACCAGGATGTGGAAGAAAACCACTCACTCAGCCAGGCTGCGCCTCACAGGTCCCCACCTGGTAAAGACAAGCTCCTCAGGGGACACAGGGCATCATGGCTGGGTAATGCAGGAGGGGAAGAGGGGCCGGGCCAGCTCCAATCCCTGAGCCCCAAGGCAGCCCCGCCCAGATTTCCGACTGTCCACACAGCCCATCGCTCCGGGGTCCCCTAACCCAGTCCCTGACAGCAGCTGGACACCTTCCTCCCCAAGGGGGCGGCCGTTTCCCCACACTGCGGCCTTTCTGGCCCTCCTGTACCTCAGCTCCAGTCACCACAGGTGTGTTGCTGCACAGATGCAAGCAGGAACCCAGGGGCAGAGTGGGCAGGCAGAAAGGGCATCACTTCCAGGCTCACTGTTCACAAATACAAAAAAGGCTGTGGCTACCGCTCAGAGCAAAGGCCCTGGGACAAACCTCAGTACTTAATAGACGGGCAGGGTCAGGAAGAGATAGAAACATAGATCACTCCAATAACCACATGAAAAAAAAAATATTGAAAAACAGGGCCAGGCGGTGTGGCAAACGCTTATTTCTAGCACTGCTCAGGCTGAGTCAGGAGGGTCCCTTAGAGTTCTAGGTCAGTCTGGGATACAAAGTGAATTCAAGGCCAGCCTGACCTGCACAGTGAGACTCTTTTCAAAGTGAGGAAAAAAAAAATTGAAGCACCGAGACCCAGGGGTCCTGAGCCCAAGAACCCTCACTGACTGCCCCCTGGTGCTGCTGCGGTGTATCCTTACCCCATCCCCGGCCCTGCCAGCACCTCCCCCTGCAGGACAAGGACAAAGACTAAAGTCAGAACTGAACACAGACCCAGGAACCCTGGGAAGGGGGAGAGCATGCTGGTCGGGCAGTCACTGATGCTGCGGTGTTGTCTCGCCCTGCCCAGGTGAGATCTTGGCCGGCCCGGCAGACCTGCTTTCCTCCTGCACCCCAGGAGGCAGGCAGCAGAGACTTCACAGAGCTCCCTTGGAACCCTGCAGGTTCACTGCACTGGGCCAAAACAGCGTTCACAGCCCGATGCCTGCCCTGTGCTGAAAAACAGCTTCCATGTGTCCCTGGTGTGCAGGTGTCTTGAGAAACAGCAGATGCTGCTTCCTGGTGTCCCCAGAGGACCCTGGCTTCCTGCCCTGCCCATGATTGTGTTCTTTTTCCGGATTGCCAGTCTTGGTACTATGAATGACACCAGTACCAAAAGGAATCACCCATGTCAAACCTTGGTAAGGCTGGGATGAGGCTTGGAGGTACAGCAAGCGCTTCGCATGTGTGAGAGCCTGGACTGCATCCCCAGCACTGTACATGCGCACACATGCACAAATTCTGATGTCCCTAAGGATGAGCGGTCATGCACTAATGCCTTTATCAGATCCCGTCACAGGAGGTTAGGACCACAGCACTCACATCAGATCCTTATTCAAGAGCCCCTCCCCCACTCACAACCCCAACCAAGGCCTTTGTTTCTGAACACCTTAGGTGGACATTCTGTCTTTGTCCTTAGAAGTCACACTGCAGAGCCCGTTGCATAAGCCTATGGCACATGCTGTCTGGGCTGCTGTCACTGTCAAGGCAGGCTGGCGTGGCAGGGGTGGTGTGGCCCAGCAGGAGAAGGAGGAGAGGCCCACCTGCGCTGTAGGCCTCTCACTGGCGGCACTTCACACAGGCAGCTGAGGGGGCAGAAGGTGAGGAGCCCAGGGCCGAAACTTGGGGCAACAAAGAGACAGGACCATAGGTGGCCTGGTGTCCCAGAAGAGATTTAGGGACAGGAAAAGTGTGGGAGGATAAGAAAGGAGAAATCTGCACCATGGGGGTCTAAGTACCCATCAAGTGTTCATGGTGGTGCCTCAGTGTGGTGTGTTCACCCCACCAAGGGGAAGGAGACAGGGAGCTTCCTGTGCTTTCTTTAGCCTTCTGTAAATTGGAAACTGTTTTAATTTAAAGTCAGTATTATGTTGACACATAGTGTTGCTACATAGACCAGGCCGGACTTGAACAAGGTATGTAGGTCAGGCTGGATTTGAAATCATGATCCTCACAACTCAACCTCCCGCAAGTTATTTCTAAACATATAGAGTGGTAATCGCTGTCAGGCTGAGCTTATATCCCATGCCCCAAAGAGGGAGAGACTTCTGTTTGTTTTTTGAGACAAGTTCTTGCCACGTAGTTCAAGCTGACCTTGAATTCATTATGCTGCCCAGGAAGAAGTGGAACTCACAGTGAACCCTCTTGCCTCAGCCGCCCTATTGCTGAGATTACAGGCATATGCCACCATGCCAAGCATGAGAAACCCTGGTCTGCGGTGATTGGGTGGGCCCAATGCAAAGTCCTTACCTTTGGACCACTGAACCGTGCTACGTGGTGCCTCCTAAAACTTGTTCCCTGAAACCACACTCCCCAAGTGTGTGTGTAGGTGTTTGGGGGAACACATACTTTCACCAACTTTCAGCAGGGAAGAAGGAAAACTATAGCCTCAGAGGGTCAGGCAATGAATGGAAGGAACAAGAGGTGGGTAGCATGGGAAGGGTCAGCCCATGGGGCTTGCACTTGACCTGCACATAGGCTGCAGTCCCACGGCCATTGCAGTTTGTAGCCTCTCTGGCTGTTGCTAGTCTAGGGTCTCCCACGATGCTCCATGTTGGTCCAAGGATGCCCATGGTTTTGCCTGAGGTGGGTCCTGCCTGCTGTCACTTCCCCTGGTGGGGTGGGAGCTCAGCCACCCTGAAGAACAAACTCAGAAGGCAGACCACAGCCCCAAAGCAAGGCATGGCGGGAGCACCCCCACTCTGCCTATGGCACAGATGAGGCCTCACCGAGGTCAACAATCAGAAGATACTCGGGAGGCAGGAGACACTAGGAATTTGCCTGTGACATTATTTTCATTGTCACATCGTGGGTGGAAGAGCACCTGCCCAGGAAAAGCCACCTGGAAAAGCAGAATGTGACTTAGGTGGAAATATGGTCATTACAGATGGCCAGAGTGCAGATGAGGTCACCCCGGGTTGCAGTGGGCCCTAAATTCTATGTGTGGTGCTGTCATACGAAGGCACACACCAAGTGTGGTGGACACACTTGCAGTCCCTGCCATTTGGGAGGCTGAGGCAGGAATCCAAAAGGAGTGGGTGTGTGGATATAGCTCAGTGTGAACAGGGAGAGAGAGGCAGACAGACCCAGACATGGACACAGACACAGACAACAAAGACACAGATACAGACTCATACATAGACGACAAAGACACAGACACAGATGACAAAGACACACACAGATCTAGCTCAGCGTCAACAGAAACAGAAACAGACAGACAGACAGACACAGAGACAGAGACAGTCAGACAAGGACGGGCAGAGATGGGTGCAGTGCTGCTGCAGTGTCTGTGGACTCCAACACCCAGAAAAGCAGGGAGGAGCTTTCTCTACAAGAGTGTGGCCCAGCGACAACTTGGTTTCAGACTTCTGCTCTCCAGACCTAGGGGATGATCCATTTCTTTGTGGTACCTGGAGCCCAGCAAATTGCAAAGCATGTCCCCCCTGCTGAGGTGCTGAGGCTGTCTTATGGGGTGTGCGCTCTGCCCTCCACGAGTGCATGCAACTTGTCTTCTCCAGGACTTGTGACCAAGGCAGTTCCCATAGGGGTGCTTCCCCCTCCCCGGTGCACTGGCTCTTCCCACTTGGGGTCCAGGCCTGTGCACACGCCACTCTACAGGACACAGTAAAAGGGAAGTGAGAATCTGGTAGCACCAGGAGAAACCAGAAATTCAAGTTGTTCATAAAACTTCCAGGTCTTGCAGTAGATATCCCACCCACCCCCATTCTCTTCCCAAAGGAAAAGTGGAGCTGCATGTGGGAAGCTACTTTTTCTAGGGTTTCTAGTTGGCTGGAGTTATGGCATGTATTGAGATGTTCCCCCAAAGCCTCACATGCTCATAGGTGGGGCTTCAAAACTGTGTCGGTATCTCATATATGTGCTGTTGGGATTACAGGTGTGTTTTGGGATTACCCACTCATTGGTTTAGCATAGTTTACATGAATATATTTACAAACTGCAATAATATAAAATATCATTGTTTTAAATATGTATACTTTTATAGTATTAACTTTGCATAAAATTTGTCACCTGTGTGCAAGTGTATTTTTATGTTGTTGTATAGATAGTAAATTGTGCACAGTCAGTAGCTTTTTACTCAGTATGTGGCCTGCATTCCCTGCCCTTGGTCGAGTCTTGGCTCTAGGGGTAAGCAGCAATTGTGAATAAGGACACAGGACAGAACCACCCAGATGACACACCCAGGAGCAAAATGGACAAGTGCCAGACTCAAGACCATGCAGCAGGAGGAACAACGAAATGACAAGGGACAGAGTGAGATGGGAAGAGAGAAGTACAGAAAATGTGGGGAAACTGTATTACTGCAGACATTAAGGACATCACCACTTGATCTCTGTGTGCAGATGTTATCTGAATACTGCTTTGATGACACACACTTAACAAGAGGAAGTTTGAACACTGACCGATAATTAAATATTAACAACTGGTAGGAATTTGTGCTCGGTAGAACAAAAGTGAAGCCCAGAAAGCAGGTGCACATGCTTATCCCAAAATAGGAAATTATTTTCTAACTCCCAGAAAACTCATTTTTGGCGAGACTCTTATGCCCTTCAAGGTTTCTGTGCCTCAAGGCAGGGGACAGAGAGTACGATACACAAGAAATCCTGAGAGCTCCCAGACTCCATAGGCAAAGTCTGTTGCAGATGAATTCTACCCAGTAAGTAGAGCAGAGGACACTGCATGTTGAAGAGTGTTGAGAGGGATACATGATCTCTGAATCTCAATGGAATTCATGGTGTAATGAGGTTCGAGAAACAGTGCGTAACTGACCTTTGTCTTGCTGCATGGAAGTAGCAGTGTAAATGGCAGGTGCACCGGGGACAATTAAAGAAAATAACGCTGTCTGGGTGTCCCTTGATCTTGAAAGCTATCCTGTCAGGATGCGCACTGAAAAACCGACTGTTACACACTTGTCCAATGAAGGAGGCCACAGAGGTCTAAAATGCCCTTTAGGGAAAGTTGAAACATGGGATCCTCTCAGAATTCAAAAACATACACACACACAACAGAGAACGAACCGTGAGGGAGAAAATCTGCCCTATATGATAAACACACCCTACCTGTAGCATCCAGCTAGTATGGGGTTTGTCAAATAAAAGAGAATGATGGGTACAGCTCCAAGGTGCAAAGGGGAAGGAAAGCCTTGATGAGAGCTCCTTGGTGTGCTCATGAGCACTTAAAGAGATGCGCTATCACGGAGGTGTCACACATGGTTCTTGAGGTGGTGCCTATGTGATTCCCCTCCAATTATTCCTGAATTACAAGCAGGGGAAACGTGAGGAAAGCTGTCAGGGCAGACTTGAGATTTTGGGGCTGA